CCGGTAATCAAAGGACAAGAGCAGCTTGGGAGGACCGAGAAACTTAGAGAGTGCTCTCGGACCTTCGACCCGAAGTCAACGGACCCTGTTCCTTCGTTACAGTATGGACCCTGGCTTCGAGCCGATGGCAAGGCGGCGCGGGACGGAATTGCCGCCTACCTCGCCATCCGCGTGCTAGCTGATGAAGACTGGACCGGCGACACCAAGCCGAACGGAATCGTCGCATTCTATGGCGTCGGGGGTGAGCCTGGTCTGAGTGCTGATCATCCAGCTGGTGTAGATGCGGAGGGCGAAGACCTTGAGATGGGAGGGATAAGTGCCGCGGAGGCGCTTTCCGGAACCGAACCACTCCTGCACTTTCGAAACGGAAACGACTCTATTCCTGGGGTCGAGCGGCAGCGAGGCCCGGACATCGGCGAGGCGGAGCTCTCCGTGATACACTTCATCGTTTGGGCGAAGAAGTATTGGGGGAAAAGCTTCGACAAGTGGATCGTTTCATCGGTAGACACGGACCTATGGATGATCATNAAGCTCTCCGTGATACACTTCATCGCTTGGGCGAAGAAGTATTGGGGGAAAAGCTTCGACAAGTGGATCGTTTCATCGGTAGACACGGACCTATGGATGATCATTCTACTGGCGATGACCACTGGTTGGCTCCGGCCTCGTGGCGAGGGGGCGGTTGACGTGACCGTCCAGAGGGTCGTGGGTGGCGAGACCAAGTTCCTGTGGATGAACAGAGTGTTCGCCAGCATCTGCGAACTCCAGGATGGAAGCGAGTCCGCGTGGCCGCCATTGACCTTCAGGGGCTGGATCCCCACGGACAACGACAAGGTCCGTCTGTTCGTCCTAACGTTCCTGGAGTCGGGCTGTGACTACCTCCCGGCAATTTCCGGGCTGCCGTTCGACAAGATGTGGGTACTGGCCCTCAAGAGCGTGCGAACGGAGGGTTTATTTGACAAGCCGCTGTTCTTCGAGGAGCAGGATGGTACGTGGGCCGTGGAAGTCGACGAATGCGCGAAGCTTTTGGCGACCATGTTCTTCTACAAGGATGAAGCGGCGTTTGGCACTGCTCATTTGACTCCAGCCCAGCTGGTCGAAAGCGTTGACGGCGACGTCGAGGGCTACGTGGACGTGATCCGCTACGCCATCCTCCAACTCCCCAAGAAGAAGANTACGTGGGGCGTGGAAGTCGACGAATGCGAGAAGCTTTTGGCGACCATGTTCTTCTACAAGGATGAAGCGGCGTTTGGCACTGCTCATTTGACTCCAGCCCAGCTGGTCGAAAGCGTTGACGGCGACGTCGAGGGCTACGTGGACGTGATCCGCTACGCCATCCTCCAACTCCCCAAGAAGAAGACGACAGCCACCTGTCCGTCCTTTTTTTCCTTGCGCAAGCAGGCAGAACGAGGTAACGCCATCTTCCGGTACTGGCAGAATGGCCTGAGGAAGACCATGCCGTTGACAGAGTTTGCCGGCGAAGGATGGAGCGTCGACCCACGAGGAAAGGGGAGCGACGGCGACGAACTCACAAAGGAGAACTGCGTGCTTGACCTGTCCGAGTATGCTTACATCGCCCCTGACCGAAAGACAGTCACGCTAGCGTGTGGTTGCAATCCGGACACGGCCCTGTGCAACAGGTGCAGGTGCAAGAACAAGAAGTGCTCGCTCGCTTGCGGCTGCAGAAATCGTTGCACCCTACGGCGGGCGGTGCCGGCACCCCGTGCGAGCAGGCGGGAGGTCTGCGTCACGGCCTACAATTATTGTCGTCAGTCATCCGAAAAAACACCCACGGAGAGGTGCGCGCATCCCGCTTTAGTCTAGGCATCGCTCCTCTCGGTGCATCTTGGCTCCATATCTAGACTATGGCTGCTATCAGCAAGTATGTTATGGCAGAGTTGCCCGAGGCCCTGGGTGGAGGGGAACATGGGAAATTATGCGTACGTACACAGATTGTCGCGTGCGTGAACGACGGCAGGCACGCGAATGAACCATGGCATGGGAGGTATGGGTATGTATGTACATAGATAGACTATGGCAGTGTGGTTCGCGCAGATAGCCTTCCTCCCTTCCTTCTTTTCTTGGTATGCATAGGAGTATTTGTTGTTGTTGTTTTTCTTCACGTTATTAAACTCGTGTCAGCTGCTAATCCCAAAATCAAGCAAAGACTCGGTCCGTGGCCACAAAAATGCTAGAGCCATCAGAAGAAGATCTAAAGAACACGCACACGATTAGCAAGAAAAGGGTACACAAGCCCGAGGAGGTACACCTACAATCCCTGCCGCACGTTTGCGTGCTCACAACGGAACTACACGCCCCCACACTACTCTACAATTCGACTACAGCAGCAGCATTATTACCCCCCTTGTAGTATGTTATCGGGGTGAGCAGTAATACTCTACAACGTTGCTGTGGTTGGGCGAGTCGGTAAGATCTTTCAAAGCTTCTTGTACACTGCTGTGTTTGCTCCTCGTTGCAGCAGGAGACCACAACCACCAACAGCAGCAGCAGCCCTTTCAACAAAACAATAAAAAACATGTGTCTCCGCGCGCCTCGGAGGCACGCAAAAATAATGTTACACACAACTTTCACTACATGTGTAGGACGAGGGGAGTGTAACTACGTGTGTCGTGCGGCAGTTGTTCTGAAATTTGATTTCAAATTGACTGACCCGACACCTGGTGCCAAAAACACCGAAACATGCGCCTTCATGTCGTCAGCGCATAATATCAATTGCATAATCTCATCACTGCGTCATGCGGAAGTTGGTTGTGGCTGTCGACAGAATATATTGGATGTCGTGCGGCTCAATGCATCTCTACATGAACGGCAAGTCGTTCAACTGGGAGGTTAGAAGGGGTGTGCGTGTCATTGGGTGTAGCATGAAGAAACGTTAGCGGCAACTCTGCTGCTGCTGCTGCTGCTGCTGCTGCTCTGTCTGCTTGCATGCCATCTTTTCCTTGTTTCTGTTCCAAAATAATAATCTGAAAACCAGGGTGATCTGGTTGTGTGCGCTAGCGCTTTGGCATTTTGTCCGCGAGGATAAAAAAAAACTTGAACGGAAACTTTGAACCAGCCTGGCAGGATGAACGGGCGGGCTGCAGCAGTGGCTTCCCTTAAATTTGGCGGATGTGTTTTGCACACAACATCCGGATTTTTTTCCTTTCTCTCTCTTTTCTTGGTGGGGCTCCTGTTGTGTGTTGTCGTGATTGTTGCTTTTCCCCGAGAAGGTCTTCTCGTCTTTCTCTCATTCCAGAATCAACGGGTGGTCAGCATCCAAGAGGGCTATGCCACTAGTGGCCAGTCACTCACACACACAAAAAAAACACAGCGCGGTCGATGCTAATATTACTAACACGCACACACGCACGCGAAACTGCTCTCTCAGTCTCCGTCTCCCTCCGTGTAGACACGTGCATGCATGCAAACTCTCACGAAATATTTTACTTGCTGTGTGTTCGCGTCATCGATGACAATGATGATCACCACTTTTGCTGCACTCACACAGGCGGAAGTTTAAGTTTAGGGCGAACAGGGGGAAATCCAAGAAAACAACAGGACGGACGGGGAAAAAAGAGTCTCGCGATTTACTCTCAGAGTTTGTACACAGCGGGGTGGAGAGAAACCGTCGGTGGGAAAGATACAAAAAAACGAAAAATTGAGCTTTTCGATCCGAAGTGGTTGCCACCGCATTACAAAAATATTAAGAAAAACAAAAAAAACACGAACGGTCCGCAGCCTCAAAGTATTCGTACCAGCGAAAAAAACGGTAGGGTGGTCCGCAGCTTCTGCTGCCTGCTGCCGGACCTCGGAAATTCGGCAGCACACACGCATTCATTTCTTAAGATACAGCGCACACATGGCCACAACTGCCAACTAACTCACTCTTTCCTTGCCACCTGCCCACCCGCCCAACAACCCACAGTCAGAAAAAAGGCACGCACGACACAGATCAATTCCTCTTCCGAAGAATCCTGTTTGTTGCGTGGTCTCAATTCCCGGGGACGCCGCCCCGAGACGGATCGAAACCTCGTCCTCTCTCTCTCCCTGCTTGCGGTGTGCTACGGGCGGCGTGGAGCTCCGCCATCATGTTGACTACCGCGACCTCTGCCGCCTCCGCGTCTTCTTCCAACGCTTACCATGGCGGAATCCAGACCCTGGGAGAGCACCAGGCGACCAACATCCTGTCGCAAGCAAACGTAACGAGTTCGGGCATGTTCTCGAGGCTTTGTTGGCGATCACCCGCGACGACGAGCAAGCAGCAACAGCAGCAGCAGCAGCAGCAGCAGCAGGACAGCAGCAGCAGTGAGCTGATCGACAGCAGCAGCAGCGGGGGGTCCTGCCTGCAAAACCCGTCGCCGGCAGAACTGCAGCAGCTCAGCGTAACGTCGTGTGCCTCCCGAGAGACGATCGTTCGTAACAATAACCACACGGCGCGTCTCCTGTTTGACGTCCACACCGGCAGCAGCAGCAGCAGCAGCTCGGGCGCAAGCTGCCGGCAGCAGCAGCAGGAAGCGCCTCAGGGCGTGACCGGCATTTCTGGCAATGGTGTTTCTTTCGTGTCAAAGACATCAGCACTGCATGTAGCCTCTGCCACGATCTACCCTTCCTCCGCGGAAGAAGCAGCAGCAGCGGCAGCGAACGACATATACGACCCAGAAGCTCTATTGCTCGAGCCACTGTTGATTTCCCCGCGATCCGATAGACAGAACACCAGCAGGAGTGACTCCGGCGGGGCCCGGGCACATGCCAACAGCATCACCAGCACCAGCACCATCAGCGTAGTCTGCGAGGACCTCCTTCAGGATGACCGCATCATGTCGCAGTCCATCGGCCGCAGCGGTAGCGGCAGCCAACAGCTCGGAGGCGGCATCATGGGTCCGCCCTGGGAAACCGACGACCCCACTTCCTCACCGCGTCCCCTGGTCCCCGCCTCCCCCCCTTCCCAGTCAGGCGTGCAGAGGCACCAGGGCGAAGAATCCCCACCCTTTTTCATCCCCGACCAGCAGCAGGCCACCCGAGGGGGGCGCCGACCTGACGATTGCAGCAGCAGCAGCAGTGCCACCGCCGCCGGCGGCGGCAACAGCAGCAGCAGCGGCGGCGGCGAGTGGTACCTTGACTGCCCTCCCAATCTCCGGCACCAGCACCAGCACCAGCACCAGCACCAGCATTTCCACCACCACGCCATCTCTGCCGCGGCCAGGCCTCCTCCTACCGCTGCTAAGTTTGCCACTGCGGCGGCGAGCGTCGCGGCCGAGGTAAGCAAGGCAGCGAGTGCCGTGGCCCCGTCCTCCTTCGCCACCCCCGGGAGCTCCTCCTACCCTCCAATCGAGCACGGCATGCGCACGGCGGGGGGGGAGGGCATCACGTCGTTCTCGGGCGGAGGCGCTTCCGGAGGCGCGACGAGCAGCAGCAGCAGCAGCGGTGGCGGCGACGACGTCTACAACAGCTCCGCTGCTCCTGACGGCTCGCGGCAACAACATCAACTATCGTGGCCCACCACCGGCCCTGGCCAACAGCAGCAGCAGCAGCATCGCAACAGCATGGGGGGCGACTCAGCAGGGAGCAGTTATCGCCGAAAACAGCAGCCTCGGTTTGTCACCCGCGAGGACTGTGTTCCGGGCTCCCGATTTCCCCGCGATGGCAGCTGCAGTGGTCTGGTTGAAGAAGGAAGGACTGCGGCCGCCGCCGCCACTGCCGGCATGCAGCAGCAGTTTATGCACATGTTCGGCGTGGACGTGCCGCCGTTCCTGCGGTCGACAACGGAGGGCGGCAGCAGCAGTAGCAGCAGTAACAACGTGTCTGGGTGGCACAGCGCTCCCTCTTCCATTGCCGCCGTCGCCGCCGCCGCCATGGGCGGTGGTGGTCCATCATCGCAACACCACCAACCATCGTCATCTTCCAGCGCAAAGCGTCCCCATTCGCAGCTCGCAGTCGGCATCAGCATCAGCGGCGAGGGGATTCCTTCTTCCGCGACGGCGACGACTTCTGCTTCTTGTCCCCTCCCGTACACCGACGGCTCGCTGTCGTCGTCGGCAACGGCGGGGGCCGGAGTTGCGCCACAGATAGCAGCGCGCCTCACGCCGATGATGCTGAACGCGCACGGTCACCAGGGGCCGGGCGGAAAGAAGATGAAGGTTCTGGGAGCGGCGGATGGCTCGCAGGGTTGGACCAACCTCCCCCACGACAGCGGCAACAGCAGCAGCGGTGCCACCGGCAACGGCAACAACAACTGGCGTGATGGTGCTTCCGCAGCAGCAGCAGTAGGTGTCCGCGTCACGACCGTCCCGGTCCCCGACTCCATCAACGACGCCACCTCGGGCAACAACAACAACAACAACAACAACAACAACCAGCCGCGCAACGGCGACGGCGGCCTTGCTGCTTCTGCCGCTGCACCATCATCAGCATTCTCGCCCGCAGAAGCGGTGGCGGCGGCGCGCGCGGCGCTAGCCGCGGCGTTCCCGCCGACCACCTGTGGCACGAACGGCGGCGGTGGAGCCGGCGACAATGACGAGGAAAGCAGCGGCGTTGACTCTTCCCCCGATTGGACAGAGAAGGACGAGTCGGAGGAGGAGCCTGATGCTGCCCCCGTCCGGACGACGTCTAGCGGCAGGGGCGGCGGCGGCAGGGGCAGCAAGAAGACCAAGACGCCGTTTATGTTGGACCCGAAGCTGTGGACCGTCGTGGAGCGACGAGCTGTTTGCACCGCCAAGCAGTGCGCCTACCGAAGGTAGGTGTGTGTAACGTTCCGAGAGAGGAACGCTGGCTTGCTCGTTCGTTTTGCCCTCCCTCCCTCCCCTTGTTGTGTGCGCTTGTGGATC